TTTGACCAAACACCACCACCTGAAATAAGCTTCTCTGACCAAGGTGAAAAAAAACAACACATCTATAAGTAATGTTTTTGTTATATATTATAAATATTTATAAGTCAGTTTCATGGAGTGACCATTTAGTAAAACACACCAATAGGTTCTCTCCTGAGGCCTGTGACTTCCCTAGGCCTGTGTTAGAAGGACCAGGCATGGATTCCTTCCTGGGAAAATGGCCTTAAATCCAGTTAAGAGAATAATCAGTTGCTCCATGCTCTAATTTCATTTCTATTGCTGTGATAAAACATTCTGACCCAAAGCCGGGCACAGTGGCACACACCTGTGATCCCCACACTTGGGGAGGCAGAGGTAGGAGGATCTGTGAGTTCAGGGCCAACCTGGTCTATGAAACAAGTCCAGGACAGCCAAGGCCACACAGAAAAACCCTGTCTCAAAAAAAAAAAAAAAAAAAAAAAAAAAAAAAAAAAAAAAAAAAAAAATCTGACCTAAAGCAACTTGGGAAAGAAAGGGGTCACTCTGGCTTACAGGGATTAAGCCATCATCAGGGAGACCAAGGCAGAAACTCAGCAAGAGCTTGAAGCAGAACCCACAGAGGAATGTTGCTTACTGCTTTTCTCAGCCATCTTTCTTTTTTGTGTGTATGTTTTGCTGTCTTCAAGACAGGGTTTGTCTGTGTAAGAAAGACGTGGCTGGCCTTAACCTCCCAGAGATCTGCCTCCCAAGTGCTGCTGGGGTTAAAGGCTGCCCCACCCGGTTGAGGCACCTTCACAAGCAGCCTAAGTCTGCCTCCCTAGGGACGGCACTGCACACGCCATGAGGGCCAACCTCGCCAGTCAGCAATTAGGAAATACCTCACAGGCACAGTGGCACACAGCAGATCTCTATGACCTAGAGGCCAGCCTGCTTATGTTGAATCCAGGATAGCCAGAGCTACATAGCAAGATCCTGTCTTGACAAGAAAAGAAAAATACACCACAGACATGGCCTCAGGCCAATCTGATCCAGGGATGCTTCTGCTGAGGGTCCCTCTCCCCAGCTGAATCTAGCCGTGACACTCCAATAAACAGTCTTGCCCAAGTTTCAGCCAGTGGGCACATCTGTCCTGACAGATCAGTGGTAGAACTTTCTGGGTCCAGATCTGGGTTAGACCATGGAGGTCTTTTCTCCCCCAGCAGCCAGGACACCACCTTCCAGCACCGTGACAGGTAGCCATGGGGAGACCGGTTCCTGGGCAGTTCCAGACTGATCTGTCACGTCCCGAAAGGAATGTATGTGGTGTCTGCAGCCATAATGTCTTACCACCTAGTTAAGGGAGCCAGCCAGGAGCAAAGGCAGCAGCTGCATTGTTTTACAGGACTCTTAGGCCGCCTTGACCAGTGACTGGGAGGGAGGTAAGCCAGGCTTTGTACTGAGGTTTTCCTTTAACAACCTGTCTTCTGAGAATAGCACTGTCCTTAGAGTTAGAAGGGAAAGGGATGAAGGTCTCTTTAGACTTAGTTCTGGCTGGTTAGGATTGTCGGCTTCTTTGGGACAATGTTGGTCGTCAGGATATCTAACAGTGCAGCAACAGCAAACGGCAAACAGCAGCAGGAAGAACCAGCAGGCTCCTTCCTCCTCCGTCCATCTCCTCACAGCCCTCACCTTCTCTGTCTGGACTCTTGTATTTACACCCTCTCCAAGTCCTCAGAATTAAACTGTGTCCAGCTGGCAAAGACCACAGCCCTCTCTGAGCCGCAGGAGGCAACTATAAGCTGTGGGAAAACTAAGGCCCAATATCCTACACTTGGGATTAAAACAAAAACATACCATCGTAACATAACTGAGGTTTTAAAGAATCTAAAACTTCCACTACAAATACTCTACCTGTCCAAGCTAGATTTGTATTCTGGTTGTCATAGCAACACTTGGGCTTAGGGGTTGAGAGGAGAATTACTAGTTCCCAATTGCAAAGTCGGCAGACTTTCCTCTGCCGCCAAAGGGCTGAGGATAACGTCCACACGCCTGTGGCCACTTCAGATCCTTTCAGCTTGTTTTGGTTTGCTGGCAGACTCCATCAGCTCTGTGTACCAGCTGTGGCACATACTTGCCCACACACGCACTAACACACACACAAGCACATCACATACACATACACACAAACATGCACACACATGCATGCGCACATATGCAAATATGCACATATGTACACAAGCATACAAACATGCATGCACACACAGAGAGTGTACACACACCCATGCACACACAAAGATACAAACTAAATGATTCTTAAATGAAAGTTTGAAACACTGTCCCCCATAAGTTAAGCCCCACTTGACAGGAGTAGGGAAGTCCGGATGTGCCACAGCGTTGTCTTCCCTGACGTCACTACTTTAGAAGGTTACAGTCACTAGATAACCACCAGCGTCCTTCTAATTCGTGAGAGACTTTCCTGAAAACCCACATGAGCAAAGCAGCCAAAGGTGTCGGTTGTTTAACCTTTCCGGGGTTCAGTTATACTCAACACCCTCCTGGCAGCTACTACAGAAACCAGGCCCTAGTGCCCAACACTAGTGTCTAGCACTGTCAAACACAGACAGTTGTCTGCTGGCATGGGAGTGGTGAGCAGCATGCATTGCACTGGAGCATAATCTCCAGAGGGGGAAAACAGTTGTGTCACCCCCCCTTTCCTCCCTGTGATTTCTTCCGAGAACACAGGAAATGGCTCAGTTGGTGCAGTGCATGCCTAGTGTTCACAAGGCCTTGGTTCACCCAGCACCACATAACCTGGATGGTGGCACTTGCCAGTGAGTTTGAGGTCAGCCTGGAGTGCAGCCTGGACTCCCTTTCAAAACCAAGCAACCCCACACCTTGAAGGGACTCTAGCCAGCTGCAGCATGATAAACCTGGCTCTGGCAGGCCCCATCCTTCTTCCTGTCCCCTCCACCTTGCTGAAAGCTGTTGGATCACCTTCCTAAAGCTGGCCCTCAAGGTCTAGTCCTTTATTTGGCCACTTCTTCCTGAGGCTGACTACCAAGGTCCAGCTATCAAAGGCCCCTCTGGCTCACCTAATTAACATGCTCAGTTAAAATTAAACACCTCATCCTAATACGGGGGTGGGGTCCCCTTTACCTTTGTAAACTGCCACTTGCCTATGGGCCACACTGTCTGCTCTCTATCCAGTCAGCCCTTCGACGCCACTGGGACAAATGTCCCTGACCCTCTCCCTTGTTCATTCCCCCTTCCCCTTAGTCAGCTATCTTCTCTCTTTGTCTCTTATTTCCTGTCCTTTGTCCATCTGGGGCAAATCTCTTTTGTTCTGGGAACTTGGTCTTGGGGGTCCAGACGCAGCACTGAATCTCTTATACATCTTAACCCAGGATGAGTGGCAGCACTGCGACAGTCAATCTGTATGTAATCTTTTATTTAAATCAGAGTTTTTCTTTGAGACACAGTCCCACTATGCTGCCCTGGCTGTCCTGGAACTCACTATGTAGACTAGGCAGTCCTCTAACTCACAGAGATCCTCTTGTGCCCTCAGTATCCTGAGTGCTGGGATTAAAGGTGTGAACCACCATGCCTAGCTAGAGTAGGTTTCTCATAAATAACATTATGGATATTTCTTTTATATATGTTATCCCTTTGAAGTGCTCTTTTAATAAATTTATTTAGGCATTTCATTTAAAAATGATCATTGATATTTGTCCTGGTGTTGTGTGACAAAACCTTCCCTGACAAGATACCTGTCTGCTCACACAGAGCAGAATCCCCTAACAGGACCAAAGAGTAGATGCCACAGAATCCAACTTTGTGAACCAATGAGTTTTAGCGGGGTTACGTGTAGGAGCAAGGCCCACCCCAGCACGGGTGGAAGCTCACAAAAGCTGGGGACCTGGAGCCCACTGCACAGCTTGCCCGGAACTAACTCAGGTTGGAGAGTGTCCTTCCAAGCGACTCTGCTCTAAACTTCTTCCAGGAAGCGCTGCTGGTTCCTGCTTCCCCCAGGCAGCTGGTCTGGTCTCTGTCTAGTTTGCAGCTCAGCTTCCCTTAGTCTGGGAGGTAGCTCAGCTTTCATTGCTTACTGTGATGGGGAGGAGCCTAGTGGATCTGGTCAGGTTCAGGAACTTCCTGGAGCAGTTTTGGGTGGTTTACCTTCCTGCTTACAGAGCTTCCCTGCCACCTGGAGTGTTTCATTCTCAGACGAAACTAATACGTCCACGTGTAGTTACGTTCACGTTACGTTCTTGTTGCTGAGATAATTGCTGTGGCCCAAAGCAACATGGCTTACACGTCCAAACACAATCCAACAGGAAGAGATGCCAAGAGGCCGAAAAGAAGCAGAGACCTCAGAGATCTGAGGATCTGAAGGGCAATCCTTTCAACTGAGCTGCCACATTCCCAAGTGACTGTGGTTAACCAGCATGTTATTTTGTGCTAGTATCTTCCACATTTGTAATGCTTTTAATTCCTCAAGTTGGACTAAAATTGTTTATTGTATATGAATTAACTGAAAGTCCAAGTGTAAGACCGATTTCAGGCATAATTTGATCTTCAATCCAGTGTGTTAAAAACGTAGTTCCTGCTGTCACTCAACTCTGTAATCTTGTCAGTTTCGTAACACATGCTCATCACAAATGAATACCATCCCCTTAGATATGGTGTTCTTATGGGGCACTGTGCTTCTCCGCTCTAGAGCACAACCATGTTTAGCCTCTTGAAGCTCTCTTTCATCTGCAGATATCTGCAGCTAAACTGTATCTCTCCTAAGAAGAAAATTCACACCGGCCCTTCAGGGGAATCAGCGAGCTGAGAGAGAGGGAAACTATCGGTAGAAGGGAATCTGGATTCTTGTTGAAAAGTCTTCCCGGGGCTAGCACGGGGAGCCAGCAACAGAGCTCAGCGTAGCATCACGTGTCTGCAGCAGCTGCGGATTGGAGGAGCGCATTTTAGTGCTGCGGTCTAGGCGCGGGTGGTCCCGCCCAGCTGCCAGAGGAGCCGGGTAGCGGGGAGAAGAGGCCACCAGAAGATCGTAACGGGGAGGGGGCGGGAGGGGGGTGGGGCAGCCTTAGCCACCCACGGCCTGGAGCCTGGGAGGACGAGGAGCGAGGCCAGGCTACCCGCCTCGTCACAACTTGCCCAGACGGGACACGCTTTATCTTGCACCCTGGAAGAAGGAGCCGGCCTGCCTTTCCGTGCTCGGTCGCTCCTCGGCCTCCGCGAGCCCCGCCTCTGCGCCAGCAGCAATCCCGGGATCCGGGTCCCCCGCGTCGCCCCGTGGCTTGCAGCGCCCGGCTTTCGCCCAGGAGCGCGCGGCTGGGGTGAGCCGAGGTCTAGGATGCTCCAGGCGTCCCCCGGGGATTCAGCAGCACAGAGCATCTCGCATCTCTGTTGGCGAGGCCAAGTCGGGCCTTCTTCCCTGTTTGCTAAGAGATCCGCAAAGCTGCAGAATCCGCCGCTGCCTTCAACCATCTTTTGCCTCCTAGGACCCGGCTCCTGGAGCCTTTGTCTTTTCGGGCTCCTCAGGCCTGCAGCACAGTGCGGTGTGCCCAGAACAGTAGGCTGCCCAGGGATGGGAACACAGTCTGGGATGGGAACAGGGGAACAGGAAAGTATGCCCCCTGCCTTCCTGTTCCGGCCATCTTGTGGCTGGGATTCGACCAGGGGTTAAGGATGGCTAACGGCAGATGCCCTCGGCGCCTGTGGCGACGGCCAAGGCCATACCTTGGACCCGTGCGCGTCTTTGCTGGGTGTGCAACTCAGCTAGCGGGCCTTTGGAACAGATCAAGGGTTCGTTCCTTTAACAGGCCAAAGGCAAAGAAAATAGGAGGGCTACGGGCCTGGGGTCATTCATTAGCTTAATGGAACAATAACTCAGCCGCATTTTTCAGTTCCTGTGCACTCTGAACGCTCCTTCCTTTCTGGTGCTGCCCTAGGTGCTGGAAATACAGCGGTGAGCTACACACCCCTCCTGTTCCCGCTGAACCTGCCAGCCCGGTGGATGGAGCCCAGAACCCACAAACCTGCCAGGTCGGTATCCCAGCCCCTCAGCAGATGGGGAAGCCGAGGGTCAGGGTCCAACAGATGTGTTCTAGGTCAGGCACCAGGCACACGGAAGAGTCGGCCTTTACAGTCGTTTATGTCCTGAGGGCTTCTATGCGAGGCTGCAGTAAAAGGTGTTTGTCTTCCTGCCATCCCGGGGAAGCAGGAAGTGCATGTCTTAGTTCCCGGACACTTTCGTGGATTTGTTTACATTACATGGAAAGTGCTCGAAATAGCTGGTGCGCTTTACTTCCAGATAATTACTGTGAATTGTATTTTTCTTTCTTCTGTCCACGTATTTGGTTGTTAGGAAAGAAAAAAAAATTCCTGATGGTTGGTCCAAGCAGGGCCTCCCTGGTGGATTGAGGAATGCCTGGCTTTTCCTCAGCTCCTTGATCTTGGAGGTGACCACGGGCAGCCTCCAGAGGACCCCTGCAATGAGAGGCCTGGGGTCTGCAAGTCGCTGCTAGAATTTTTTAAAGAATGCAGCGCCGACAGAAATCTGTAAGGTAAATATTGTAGGTTGGTGAAACTTCTTAGAAAGCTGGACGTGGAAGTTCCCATCTGTTTTTTTCTTCAACGTTTTGAGAAATGCCTTTGGAGTGACAAACTGTTGTTTATATCAGGCGAGTTGTATGGTTTGCATTTAACAAGATTCAAAGTCAAGCTGCCAGCGCCCAGGGAAAGAACAATCCCGTTTGAAAGTATGTTAAAAGTAAGACATTTAGAAGGGCTAAGTAACAGGTTTAGCCTTACTGTGGTGTAATATACAAAACACACCCTTAATTTTAAAAGAACAATTCCGTTAAATTTGGCAAATGTATTTATCTGTATAATTAATTCCACAATCAACATGCAGCACTCCCAGCCCAGATTTTCAAATCTCCCGCCTTTATGCCCTCAATTAACTTCTGTAGGTACACATTTCCCAAAAGTGTGGGAAAGAGTGAAAAGACGAACCTGTATTTCCAATCCCCGAACCTAACCGCAAACACGGGGAGGGAGACCTGGAAGGCTGCAGCTGGGACTGAAGACTGTGGACACGTGACCCATGCACGATTTAGGGGCCTAGCGGGCCCAGTGTTTTGAGGGTGAGGTCAGGGGAGGTGGCCGCCAAGAGATGCCCCCACAGGTGCATGAGGAGTGTGGTCCAAGAGTCTTCTCTTGTCCTTCCCGCAGGTCCCTGGGCGCATGCTGAACGCGCGTGGGCCGACACGCCCTGAGCTCCAGGTCGGGGCTGGGCGTTGCTATAGTAACGTCCTGGACGCCCAGATCTCAGGCCGCCGCCGCCGAAGCGGGCGCCTGGGCCTTCTCCAGCTCACGAGGGGTGTGGCGGCGGCGGCCCCAAAGCGGCCCAGGCCAGGTAGAAGACACTGCTCCGCCCCTCAGGCGCAAGCCTAGGCGGCCGGCTGGCTTGCAAGCATGGTAAGATGCACGAGGCCCGGGGTTCCTGTCCCGAGAAGCAGGGCAGAGACGGTCGGGTGCGCTGGGTCTCCCGGCTCCCCAGCTCTCCCGCCTCCCGCCGCGCTATCTCTTCCTCCGCAGCCCTTCCAGAAGCACGTGTACTACCCTCTGGCCAACAGCCCCGAGGGGCCCGACGCCCCTGCCGCAGGCGCGGCCCCCATGGCCTTCGTCCCCGCCAGCGCGGCCACGGGCCCCCTGCCCTTCTTCCAGTTCCGGCCGCGGCTGGAGAGCGTGGACTGGAGGCGGCTGAGCGCCATCGACGTGGACAAGGTTGCCGGCGCCGTGGACGTCCTGACGCTGCAGGAGAACATCATGAACATCACCTTCTGCAAGCTGGAGGACGAGAAGTGCCCGCACTGCCAGTCGGGGGTGGACCCCGTGCTGCTGAAGCTGATCCGCCTGGCGCAGCTCACCATCGAGTACCTGATGCACTCCCAGGACTTCCTCACGTCGCAGCTGAACCTGGTGGAGGAGAGGCTGCGCCTGAGCATCAGCGACTACGAGCAGAGCAAGCAGCTGCTCACCAAGCAGGCCGGCGAGATCAAGCTGCTTAAGGAGGAGTGTAAACGCAGGAAGAAGATGCTGTCCACGCAGCAGCTGATGATAGAGGCCAAGGCCAGCTACTTCCAGGTGGGACGCTGTGCCTTCATTTTAATTAGCAGCCGAAAGTTTTCATTACTTTCCGCAGCCGCCAAGAAACTGATAACCAAGTACCTTAATAATATTATAAGATTGTGCTGTGCAGGGCTCATGAGGTTCTCCAGATGTTGGTTGGTTATCCAGATGTTGGCCTGTTTCCTGCTTACAGTAGATGGTGTGAAGAAAACAGTTGTGTACAAGTTGCTACTGAAGTTGGCGCCCAAATGACATGGAGTATGATCCAATATGTGAGGGTCCCCCCCCTTAAAAAAATTTCAGGATGTTTTCCAAATGACAGAAAAGTGCCAAAATAGAAGCGAGAGCCTCCATGGACCCTTCCCCAGACCCCTGTTACCTGCAGTTGGCACTTTTCTGTAGCTCCTCAACCCCTGCTTAGCTCCTACAGAGGGACGCCGCACAGTGAGCTACAGACTCAAGTGTTCCATGTGTGCAGCCCCCATGGGCAAGAACACGAACATTAGCATTTAAAGAGCCAAACGCCTCTGTATTCTAAGCATAACCTGTTTATTATGAATTAGACCCTGAGCCCAGGATAAAGATTGCAATTTTGAAATCAACGTACAGGTCGAGTCTGTGTGCTTTGAAATGCTTAGGACCAGAAAAGGCTTGAAATTTGCAGTATTTGCACTCATCTCCTAAGGTATCTTGGGGCTGGGACTCAAATCTAAATATTTATATGTTCGTGTGCATGTGCGTGCGTGGGTGTGCCCAGGAGTGAGTGCAGTGCCTTGAGGGGGCCCGGGAGGTCAGCTCTCCTGGAGCTGGAGTGACGGTGGTGTGTGAGCCTCCTGACGTGGAGGCTGAGATTCTCACAGGCTTCCTCTGCAGGAGCAGTACAGGCTCTCCAGCTCAGGAGACTTGTCTGAGGCTTCAAATGCAGCCTAACTAAGGCAGCGGGGGCCCTGGAGTTAGTGGCTTTATACAGTTTTTCCGGGTTGCCTGTGTTCTGACCGAGGCCAACACATGGAGTTGGATATGGACTTTTACACTTGTGGGGAGATGGCTGTGCTTTGGAGCATCTGGATTTGGGGGTTTCAGACCAGAGAGGCCCAGTTTGTGCTTAGTTGAAGGAAAGACAAACTTTGATTAAAAAGTAGTGAACAGGTTGACAGGATTGATTTCGTTTTCCGTTTTCCACGTCGGGGATACATACTCTTTAAGTGGCTACAGGCGGTTGCTGAAGCAGCTTCAGCGCGGCAGAAGTGCATGAAAGGCAGAGAGGTGGAGCAGTTCATAGTGCAGAGGACAAGCCGCAAAGCAACACTGAAGTGTGTTTCAGCTCGGGGTCTGGCCTTGGCTAGACACCAGGAGGCACTCTCCTCAAATGATACCCGATGTCTTCACATGCTGTTTAAAGACTACAGACCTGTAAATAATGCTGTTAACTTTTCTTGTACATGGGAATCCGTTCTTCTTAGACGTTGGAAGTAAGTGTGTTGTTCTCTAGTTTGGGTAGTAATCTAGTGAAATATTAATACACTTAGCAAAAGCTGTATCTTTCTCTCAGTCACCGTAGAAATAATTGCCAGTAAAGATTTTCATATGTGTGCGATGGCTGTGGCTGAAATGGGTAACAAATAGGAAGTATGAATGCCATATAAGTATGTAAAGGTAAGGACTTATCACACCAGTGACGCCTGTCAGCTCAGCACGCAGCAGACTCTCTGAATGCCAGTGTTGACAGTGTGTGCGGGTTCATGTGGGACATTAAGGCGGAAGTGACCATCGTCTTTTCCTGCTGTCCTCTGTTAAGCGACACGCTCTTGTGACTTTCAGGGTGACAGTTTCACGGTTAGCTGCACAGGTTTAGTTATAACTGCAAGTCGTTCCATTTCTAGCTTTGCGTTCCTTTCTGGAAGTGGGATGTTCGTAGCGGCTGCCTGTTAGGATGAGGCGTTCCACAAGAGAAGACAGGTAGTGAGGGCGCAGTGGACATGCACATTCGGCCTTCCTTGTGGCTTTCTGGTGATGGTGTACGGCTTCTGTTACCTCGTGGGGAACCCTTACACCGCTTTAGGTGTAAGGCTGCGGTGCAGGATGGCCCAGGGTGACTACAGCCGTGAATAGAGAGCAGATAGCAAAAGTGTTGAAACTCCAGGTTACATTTGGGCAGTGAAATAATTTAGAGGAAGAGACTTGATTTTGTTCAGTCATCTGACTTTAGGATGCAGTCACAAATTTTAATTAACTGAAGTTAATTGATTACTGCCAGAACAATAATCCAGCCCAGGGCTTTGTCCTGTGTGTAGTAGCCCTCTAGTGGAACACTGGCAAACTACACCACAGAAGAAAACCTCTGCCAGTAAACTACTGAGCTAGCTGAGGATCCCAGAAGCCTGTTCACTCTCCAAGCTGGAGCTGACCAGCTTGATCTCTGTGTGTGTCTTACGCTGGCAGCCATGGCTGCTGCGACTTCATGAGTGCACTGGCTTGGTTATGTCCAGAAGATGTTGTCTCTAAGGAATCTTTGTGATGTGTGGTCTTACAAGCTTCCTGCTTTCCCTTCCGTGATGGTTCCTGACTTGTTGGTTACCCCTATAACATTCATGCCACTTTTGGCGCTAATTTTCCCAGGGTGATTGTTATGTGAATTGCAGGTTTTACAGCATGGTAAGACTGTTGATGTCTCTTCTCCCTCAGCAGCCCTCGTAGCCTCTTACGGGACCATGGAAGCTAGCCAGCAGGGAAGAAACGTCCAGATTAGTACCAGCTTGATTTACTCCTGTCCTGGGGTTGGAGCTTCAGACAGCTGTGAGCTACAGTGTGGTGGTTGGGCATCAAACCTGGGTCCTTAAGAGCAGCCAGTGCTCTGAACCACTGAGCCTCCGTTCCAGCATATGCACGTATACACTCACACATGTGCACGTACTAATTTTTTTTAATTGGAGATGTCTTTTAATGGCCAAGCACACACAACACACACACACACACACACACACACACACACACACACACACATACTTAAATATTTTTTAGTTGGAGATTTTTTACAACAGTCAAGCACACACACAGGAACACACATTTAATTATATTTTAATTGGAAAAGATGTGTTTTAATGGCCAGGCACTCCTCGTGGCCCTCCCTTGCCCTGCCAGGAGATTGTGATGCCTAGGGGATTCTGATTCCAGAGGTGTGGAGTGGGGTTAGGGAACAGCCACACATTTCTGATGATGGTGTTTTGGGAGGTCAACAGAATCAGATTCTGCAGGGAACCGTGAGTTAAGCGAGTCTCTGTCCTCAGGCTTCAAAAGGAGACTTGGCTCCAGCTGGACAGAGATATAATCAATCTTTCTCTCTCTCTCTCTCTCTTTTCACCACCCTTCCCTTCTCTCTTTCTCTCACACCTTCAGTCTAAGATCATTTGTTGAGGGCCTATGTGTACTTTGAGACTATAAGAAATTTCTCAACTTAGAGCGATGCTGTCAGGCTTAGAAGGACAGAAAACAGGTGGGAATCATTTAGTTAGTGGTGGACACATTCCATCCTGTGGCTCCCTAGAGGTCATGCTACAGAATCCAGTTACCTGCTTCTGCTCCCACAGAGAAGATGAAGAAGGAAGCTCCCTAGGGAGAGTGGCTTCAAGCCCGTCTCTACTCCTGTGTCAACTGCTAGACCTTAACAAATCGCTCAACTCTCACGAACATTGCCTCTGCTGTGTGGTGTGGGAATGGCCACTCTACCTACGTCATAGCCGCTCAAGGGCTTTGTGTGGTCATGTTTAACGTGTTGTTAGTTCTTTCACCCAGAACCTGAGAGTGAGGTGCAGAAAGCCCTGTGGTACTCAAACACCAGAGCTGAGTTACTGCAGTCACATGACTGCCAGCATTTTAACTTCACTTCTCCAGACAGATTTCAGAGGCACCAGACTCTTTGCAAAGAGGTTGAGCAAGTCATGTGATCCAGCTCACCTTCAGAAAATTGATCTCATTTCTCTGTCACTTCTCTTTGTCCCCATTCCCTTTTGCCTCAAGAAATGACGGGAGGTATGTAGTGTGAATAAAACACATGAGGATGTCCACTTGAGTAGGAGCGTGACACGGGCTGTGTGCAGTCAAAATGTGCAAAGGGTTACAGTGACAATGCATATTGTCTTTTTCCTCAGTAATTTACTATATAAAATTTATAATATATAGGGAAGTCAAAACAGCTATGCTGAATATCCACACATGAAAGGTTTCAAAAGGGAAAGCTAATAGGCATGAACAATGGAGTAATTAATGGTAAGTGTGGAGAGAGAACATAGACCAGTGTAGCTAACACGCACAACCACTCGCTAAGATGAGATGTGTGCTAGTGTTTTGCTCTATTTCCATCCTCTGTTTGGGGAAAGTTTTTTTTTTAATTTAAATTTATTTTTTATGATGTATTCACTTTGCATCCCGATTGTAGCCCACTCCCTTGTCTCCTTCCAGTCCCACCTTCCCTCCTTCCTCCTGTCCTCATCCCCTAGTCCTTAGGAAGAGTGGGAACACTTCTTCCCTACCACCTGACCCCCACCTATCAAGTCTAATCAGGACTTCCCCCCAAGGGGGAAGTGATCAAAGAACAGACAACTGAGTCCACATCATAGGCAGCCTCTGCTCCCCTTACTAGGTAACCCATATGGAGACTGAGCTGCCATGGGCTACATCTGTGCAGAGGTTCTAGGTTATCTCCATGCATGGTCCTTGGTTGGAGTATCAGTCACAGAAAATACCCCTGGGCCCAGATTTCTTGGTTCTGTTACTCTCCTTGAGGAGCTCCTGTCCCCTCCAGGTCTTACTATCTCCCCCTTCTTTCATAAGATTCCCTGCACTCTGCCCAAAGTTTGGCTAAGAGTCTCAGCATCTGCTTCGATGCTGGGTAGAGTCTTTCACAGGTGGATCTCTGTGAGTTCAAGGCCAGCCTGGTCTAGAGAACAAGTTCCAGGACAGCCAGGGATACACAAGAGAAAGCCTATCTTGAAAAAATGAAAGTTTTTTTTTGTTTTGTTTTGTTTTGTTTTTATGAATGCATATATTCATATTCAGAATGTTTTTAGTTTTAAAGCATTTCTCTCTCTCACAAACACAAGTTAGCTACTTAGGTCTGCCATAACAAATACCATCAATTAGATGACTTAAGTAATGGACATTTCTCAGATACTTAGAAGCTGGAAATCCTATGTCAGGGTACCAGCAGAGCTGGTTTCTGGAGTTTCTCTTCCTGCCTTAAACAAATTGGTGGTAAAAGATAGAAACCCCTTGTAGGAGAAATATGACTAGGGCTTTCAGAAATTGCCAGAAGGACCGTTTCAACTGTCAAAAGATCTTTCATTGACTGACTTTAGCTGGGGAAGGCCATTCTTACCTTTCGTTTGCCCTTTGAGTCAGTATCACTAGCCAACATCCTGTGTCTTTTAGGAAGAAAGCCGTGAAAAGGCTGTGCCTCTGATCCCTTGTTTTACCTGCAAGGAGATGGGGAGAGTCACAGTAACACTTGAATTTGTTGTTCTCCTTTTAGTGCCATTTTTGCGACAAGGCCTTTATGAACCAAGCCTTCCTCCAGAGCCACATCCAACGGCGCCACGCCCCCGAGTCTCACCTTGGTAAGGCATGAGCTCTGAGTCAGAGCTCTTTCCTTCTTCTCCCTCTCTCCTTTTTCGAGAGACGTGGTCCAGTGTACTCATTGGTGCTTTCGAAGAAAGGTCTCACAGGCTGTGAGTATGCTGAGTGAATGAACGCTGAGCCCTTGAGGTTCGAGTTCAGGGTGCCCTAGCTGCTGGACACAGCTGTCAATGAGTCTTGCCTTCTAACGGAGGGCTAACGCGACACTTAAACCAGTAGTGTTTTTCACGTGCCAGATGCAAAGACAGTAGCAAAGGCTGTGAAAGACAAAAACAGGACAGAGGGAGAATCATCTCAGGTGGCCTTCGAAGGCCTCTCTGAGGGAGCCATTTCCAGCCAGAGTGAAGTCCTGTGAAGAAGCCACAGTCTGATGAGAGGGAGGGGCTAGTAGTCCAGGTACCTGGGCTGCTAGTGTGAGGCCCAGGAGGCGAGGCTGTGCCTTGTGTTTGAGGAACAGAAAGGAGGCAGGGTGTGAGCAGTGGTGTGTGGGAAAGCTGAAGGCCTGGGGGACAGATCTCAAGAGACCACGACAGCCCTGGCTTGTGGGCAGTACATGAATACAGTGGGAAGCCATGGGATGAGTTTTTCTGTGGAGGAGAACGATGGTGTCATTTGTCCCCTAAGGAAAGCATCTGGCTGCTGAGGGATACAGGAGCAACAGTGGAAGCTGGTAGAATGAGGAGATGCGTAGAAGTCCAAGTGAGACGAGAGAAGCCAAGACCGGGCTGGCTGCAGGGCAGAGGGGCATCAAAAGAACACGTGCCGCACACAGAGCCCGAGAGCTCTGACTTGGGGTAGAGGAGACAGGAGAGCTTGTGTTGGCCAGGCACATGTTGACATCACACATACAAGAGAAGGCGAGTCATGTGCTGGTATTTGCAAATGGAGGCTCAGGGTACACAGAGGAATCTGGGAACTGGAGACCTTGGGCTGGCTGATGTCACCCAGGCCGAGGCCCGAAGACGCAGGGACAATGGTGGCGGGTGGAGAGTAACAATAGGGGGACCTAGAGAGCTGCCTTGCACAGCGAGAGGGAGTGTCCCGAAAAGACGGCCGTGGTCAAGCGTGTCAGCTACTCAGAGGCAAAGACTGGGACGCAGAAGGGAGTTTACCGTGGCCGCACAGTTGTCGGCTCGAGGACAGGATAGTTTGAGTGAGTGGAGTTAGCAGTCAGTGAGGAAATCGTCAACGGGCACAGCTATGTATGTCAGCAGTGTGTGCTGGGAAGGAGAGCAGACCTGACAGGTCATCTCCACTGAAGCGTGGAGACGAGAGCAAGTTGCCTTCTGTGGAGTAGATCTGTCTGGGTGCAGATGGAAAGTAACCAGAAAGGAGGGGTAGGAGTGGACCCAGAACCAGTCAGTCTTCCCACTGTCTGAATGTTCTCAGAATGCAGTCTCCGCCTCCTCGAGCAGGCCAGGCTTTGTGCCACTGCAGCCTGCAGACGTGTTTTTAGTCGTTACACTGGTTTCCTTCCTTTGGGACCAGTCTGTTTCTATTCCTGCCTGTTACACTTTGTAGCAGAAGCAGAACAGGTAGCAGAAAATGCCAGTATAAGCTATGGACCACTGATACAAGTAAGCAAATCCTGGGAACGTGGAAATGTGGGACTATGTGCAATTGACCTACCATTCTCCAGTGTGAAACTGACCTCTGTCTCTCTGTTTCAGTTTCTTATTCTATCTCATACTCGTGTCAGAGAGCATTTCGGACTCTGAAATGAGTATTGTCTCTTCAGGTCATCTTTGAGATTCTGACTTTCTGCTTTGGTTTCCATACCTTTCATGTCCGCACTCACAGCCCATGTGTACCCATTCAGTCATGTGTACATCCTCATGTAAGTACACGCACAGAAGTATCCCTCCCTTCACCTGTTGCTTCCTTTGACAGCCTCTCAGTTCTTCGCTTTTGCCCGAGGGATGGCTGACAGATGGCTGCCCCAGCTTGCGCCTTGAATCCCCAGGCCCCTCTGTGTTCACCGATAGGGACCTGGGGACGTTGGGTGGGAGCGAAAACAGTGCTGATGGTGGGACTTCAGCCTTTCAGTATTATGGGACTTGTGGGTGAAGCCTTTGCTTCTCCGCTTTGAGACAGACATCTCTGAAAAGGTCCAGAGTACCCGTGGGGCAGAGCCACCAGGATTGCTCCCTGCACAAGGTTGTCACAGATTATCCAAGGTTTGGGTAATCAACCTCAGTACTGTGAGTGGCTGAAAGAAGCCACAAAGGGCTCCAGACCAACACTAAAGAACCAGACTGGGCTCGTGGCGTCAATTAAGTAGTAGTGTCCCGAGTGAGAGCATTTTCCTTGTTGTACAGCTGTGCCCTGTGAGTTTTCAGGTTAATTTATAAGAAATGGCATCCTAATGAGGTTTTCTCTTGCAGCAGAGTGTAACACAAAGGCCCAGACGGACAGGCTGCAGAAGGAAATGGACATGTTGAAGGAACAGCTGCAGCTCACCCGGTCACAGCTGGAGTCTGCCCAGCACTCTCACGCAGTCCGGTTCTCTAAGGTGGGCCACAGTGCTCTTTCCTGTGCCTTAAAAGGTGCAGGTGTCTGGGGATTCTGGCTTTGGCATGCAGGCATTCGTGCATGTGGCCTGGGCCGGAGGCCTCAGTCCTCTGAGACAGGATCTCACTGAATCTGGACAAGGCTGCAGGGGCTATAGTCATGTGCGGGGCTATCTTGGCTGTATACGTGGGTGTTAGGGATTTGAACTCAGGTCTTCACGTTTATGCAACAAGCACCGTTGACCACTGAGCCATATCTCCAATCTCCAAATGTGGGGTTTGTTTGTGTGATTTTTTTAATTGGTGTTTATTTATATGTATGTGAGCGTGTCCTGTGCATATGTGAGTCAGGACAACTGTGCGAGTCAGGCTTTTCCTTTCACTGTGTTAGCCCTGCCAGCAAATTCAAGTTGTCAGGCATGGTGCCAAGTACCTTGACGCACCGAGCCATCTTGCCTGTTCTCCAGCCATGTATCAACTTGGGAGGATCATTGCGTTAGGCCTGCGGGCTTAGAAAGTGTTATTTCAGGTGTAATTCAAAGAAGACATACTAACAGATTTGGGGTGAAGCTATGGTTTGTTTTAGAATTTGCATTTCTGTTTCACCCAGAGCCTTTAATGACACCTATTAAAATAATTTCAGGAATATGAAATGCAGAAAACAAAAGAAGAAGACTTTTTGAAGCTATTTGAAAGATGGAAGGAGGAAGAAAAGGAGAAGTTACTAGATGAAATGGAAAAGGTCAAGGAGATGTTTATGAAGGAATTTAAGGAATTAACTACAAAGAACTCCGCATTAGAATACGTAAGTACGTAGCCTAGAATTTCCCAAAGGGCTTCGTGCTTCAACATGCGCTGTTGGCATGGCATTGTGGCCAGAGGGTTAGGTCTTTGCCATGCCCAGCACGCATGGCCCTCTCCTGGCTAGGTTTGCCTGGCCAGGTTTAAATAGACTTAAACCACAGACCCCTCTGCAAATTCTAGAACGTTCCAAGGAGTAGATAGAAAGGCTGATCAGATCACCAAGGCAGGAGAGGGAGGAAGAATCCAAGCCTAGCCCTCTCGGTAGGCACCAGTTTTTCAAACGCTACCTTATTTGGGGGCTCCTTAAAGCTTCTCCCCTCCAGCTCCCCAACCCCAGGTAGGGGATAAAGAAGGCTGTCAGGGAAAGAGGATGTAGCCCTCTTTACTTCTTCCTGCTGGGTAGGGTCGTAGGAGTCTTTTGGGGGGCAGTACCAATAGCCATCATCAGGAAATCCAGATGTCCAGGTAACCAGAAAGCACAGCAAGCAGGCCTCCTCTGCCTCTTCCAAGCCACTGTGCCTCTGGGCTGTCATATTTATACCCTCAAAGTCCTCAGAATTCAACTAATTCCAGCTGACAAAGACCACACCCTGCATGAGACTCTTAACAGGCATGGACAAACTAAGATCCCCCACTTGGGATTAGAACAAAAACATGTTTACATATCACAAACCAGAAGGTCCACACAGCTCTCCCAATTCCATACTTGTCCTTTGAGGAAGACTGGGTCTGCAAAGGAAACTGGATGTGGCAAGTGGGCCCTGTGCCTGTGTGGGAACAGCCGTGGTCCGTGGATGCGTGTGATAGAGGATTCACTTACCAGGGCTGGAACCTGGTCCTCAGCCCCTTCGGTCCTGTTGACCTGACAACTCCTCCAGGGGAGAAGGAGGAGGGAACTGAGGCAATCCTCAGGCTCCCTCTAGGGGCTGACATGTTTTTTCAAAAAACAAAACAACAAAAAAATACACTTCGCTTTCTTTTGTCTGTGGTAGCTTTTCAGTCTTGTTATTGTAGAGAAGTGTGGATTATGTGTATTGGAAGCCTTGCTGATGAGGTTTGTCTGACTAGTTTGAGTGTATCCTGATTTAGTCAGTTTATGTGGGGAGGATCCGGGAGAAATTGTGTCACTTCCTCACACCGTACTCAGTGCACACGTGGTCCTCATGATCTGTGGCTTTCACGTTGGCCTTAGCACCTGGGAGCTGCCTTGGTGGAAGCAGGCTTCTCTACTGAAAAGCTCCTCCTCCTGCTTCGAGTGGTTGCTGGGAGCATACGATGAAGTAGGCTCCCACCCTTCTGTTTTCTAACTTCAGTGCCTGTTGTGAGATTTCTTCCCCATGGTTACCTTTGGGAAATTAAGACATTTACAGCCCTAATGGATTTCTTTGTATGGCTCCTGGACAGTGTCATCCTTCCATTACAGTATCTCCTCGGAACTGCCATCGGCATGGTGATGCCCCAGTAATCCAGCACTCTGGAGGCTGAGGCAGGGTCAGCAAAAGTTCAAGTTCAGCTTGGGCAGCTTAGCAAGATCTGCCTCAAAAAATAAACAGAAAGAGACAGACGTACCCAGTTCTTCCCACAGATGTTATGTTCCTATTAAAAATTTAAAGACCCATTGTCAAAGGCCAAAAGTTCATCGGTGCCAGAGAGATGGTTCCTCGAGTAAAGCGCTTGTCGTGAGAGCCTGCTCAAATCCCCTTTCAGTCCCTGAAGTCCACATGAAGAAGCAGGAGAAAGCGGACTGCACTTGGCCTCTGACAGTCACGTGTATGCTGTGGTACGCCTTAGCCCGGCAATAGATGATTTTTACAGCATCAGTTTTCATTTCCTTTTCCTGTATTCATTCTGGTGGAACTATCAAAGATCAGAGAGTGGTAAAAACAAAGAGTGGAGCCGAGGGAAGATAGGAGGGAGCAGACAAGGAGTGTTTGGAGGACAGTAGAAGTTGACCGTGCTCCCCTGCCTGTTCACTTTTCAGTTAAATAAGTGCCTGACGTCTTTACTGCTGATTGTTTTTCACTTGTAGCAATTGTTAGAAATACAGAAGTCCAATGTCCAGGTCAAGTCCAACATAGGCACCTTAAGAGATGTTAATGATGTTAAAGAAGGCCGGCTTCCATGTCCCCAAGATTTCCAAAACATGCTGCAGCTCCTTGACAGCCAGGTAGGACATGGTGCTGGCCACGGCCACAGCCACGGCATGTAGTGCTCGCTTAGCTGTTTTGTGTGCACCTGCATGAGCTTACGTGTGACACATTCAGGGCCCATTCCCAGGGAACTGCAGCCACAGGTGGGTTTGAGCCGAGACGTGGATACTGACCCCAGGTTCTCTGAAAGAGCGCCAAGCTCTCTTGACCACCGAGTCTACATCGCCTTGGGTTTTGCTCTTAACGAGGTCATTCACAGCAAACGTGTTTCTTTACGTATTGACATATGGCTGTGAAACAAAATCGTAGTTAAAAGTGTTTCTGTTTTCACCAATAGGATGTCAGTCTGAACTAGTTAGTGTCCCTAATCAATTCACATTATTATTTAATATTTTCCCTATGTCAGATGTAGATCTCACTTTTAAAGATGCATATTGAGGGCTGGAGAGATGGCTCAGAGGTTAGGAGCACTGCCTGTTCTTCCTAAAGATCGTAAGTTCAATTCCCAGCAACCACACGGTGGCTCACAACCATCTCTAGTGAGATCTGGTGCCGTCTTCTGGCATGCAGCTGTACATGCAGACAGAACACTGTGTAAATAACAAATAAATCTTTTTAAAGAATGCATATTGAAGCATTAAACTTATATTTAGTTTATATAAAATACATTGGCACACTGATCTTTTCTATGTTTTCTTTCCATTTGGAAATCAGACTCTCTAATCACTCTGTAAAAGTTATTTTATCAATGTGCTTTAGGAAAAGCAATAAAAATCAAAAAGGCTACATGCAGGTCAGTGGTGCAGCCTCTGAGGACTATAACCCTGAATCCAAGCATCCTACTATTTAAAGGCCTTTGAGTTGGCCAGAGTGGCTCACGGGGTGAAGGCCTTTGCCCCCAAGCTTGGTGATCTGCGTTCAGCCCCCTCCCCCCCCCCCCCCCCCCGTGGTCCCGTGGTAGAAGGCATGAACCAACTCCCCACAGGCCATCTTCTGAGCTCCACATGCGTGTAGGGCAATGCTTGACATGTACACACACAGATGCATGTACGTGCATAGTAAACAAATGTGATGAAATGTTAATAAAAACAAACCCGTGAAGCTTTCGTGTGGTAAGGGCATTTTGCGGCATGGCCGCTGTTCCTGTTTGAGTGCTACACCCTGCCTGGCTGTCTTAAATGCACCCCCTCCATTCCAGCTTGGCTGCGTACATTGTCCTGTCTAACTCTCTGTCCCCTCTAACTCCCAGACTTCTTAGCTAGCAGCCAAGCCTTGTTTCCCACCAGACTTCACAGTGATGACATTCCCTGTGCCCAGTGTCCACCCTCTAGCATGGCTCCTTGTTCCCTACCAAGGCCCTGCTGCTTTCTTTGCTGACAGAGGCCTCTCTGTTTTCAGGATCAGCCTCTTCCTCATTCCCCAGTGTTGCTGGAGCAGCATCTCCACAAGGTTTTCCGAGAAGGGCCTACTTACACACGTTCAATAGGAATTCTCTCATCGTTGTGTCCACCCATTACCTGGACAGTGCTTTTTTCAATCCTCTTCCAAGCTGTGGTGGCTCAGCCAGGTGACTGGCATGAGTAGAAAACTGGAAGTTATCTCATAGTGTTGACACTTACTTCCCAAAGACTGAGGTGTCTCCCATTGACTAAATTTTCTGGTTAGAACCCATGGGCCCAGAAACCTTAGTTTTTTAACCCATTAGGTTCTCACACTAGCACCTGTTTTGTTTTGTTTTCAAGTAATATTTTATTGGCACACAGCCACACAAATTCACTTAAATTGTAGATGTGGCTATTCTCCCCTGTGCCGGTTAGTTTCGTGTCAACTTGACACAAACTACAGTCACAGGAGGGAGCCTCAACTGAGAAAATGCCTCCATGAGGTTCAGCTACAGGCGAGCACAGAGGATATTTTCTTAGTTAGTGGTTGATGTGGAAGGGCCCAGGCCATTGTGGTTGGGGCTGTCCCTGAGCTGGTAGTCCTGGGTTTTATACAAAAGCAGGCTGAACAAGCCATGCAGCAAGTCAGGAAGCAGCATCCCCCATGGCCTTGGTATCCTCCCTTGCTTGAGTTCCTCTTCTCCTTTGATAGTGGACTGTGATGGATTGGATGGAGAAGCCAAGTAGACCCTTTCCCCCCCAGCTTGTGTTGGTCATGGTAGTTCATCACAGCAACAGTAACCCTAACTAGGCCATCCCCACACCCACAGTTGGGACAGACTCCCCTGACCCCACTCTGTAATAGAAATGTCTGTTGATCCCAACCTTACAGTAAAAGCACAGACAAATGGGTTTAAACATAACAGCCATATATATACTCTAAAAATGCCAGCTAAACTGTTACTGGGTTGTTGGGTTTCATGCATGCCCAATGCAAAAGCAAGCTCCAGTGTGGAGTGTGTTTCTGTGTTACAGACTTATCGCTTGTTTTGCTCTCCCCCAGGCAAGCAAGTGGTCAGATCGATTTCAAGTTCTCAACGAGGAACACAGCAAGGAGAAGGGACAGGTAAGAGCGAGAATTTAGGGACCCTGTCTAGTCAGTCGGCCCTGCCCCTTTCTCACCAGGGCTGAGGATGGATCCAGGGCCTCACGTGTGCGCAGGCGAGTGCTCTGTTACTAAGCTACACACATACACCCAAATTGGTCGGTTTGGAAAAGAATTTCTAATTTCTCAATAATAAAAGTAGCATTTTCCTACTTAACATTTCTGGAGCAATGTGTAACAAAACTATTAGAATTAACACCAAAATTAAGCACTGCTGCTTTCAAGTTTCTCTTCGCTTTCCTTTCATCTTACAGATGTTAAATTTCTTTCTAAAACGCTTTGTCCTTTGAGAGTTTTGCACATGCGCACAGTGCATTTTGAGCTTACCCATTCCTAACTCTGCACCTCCATCTCATTCTGCACTCGGACCTTACCAGTATGTGCCCTCCGCCCCCCAACCTCATGTCTCCCCTAGAATCTGTTTAAAAATTACCCACTGGCTCCCGTCAGTGCTGCTCATGTCCACACGGCTGCAGAGCGCTCACAGGGCATGAGCAGCCCACCAGGGCCACACCGTGAAGAGAAATGACTGTCCACCACTGCCAGTAGCTCCTCCACCACAGGTGGGCTTCCATGAGCTCCCCTCCATGCCGCCTTGTTGCCTGGCTTCCTCTTGAGTAGGCAGCCAGAGCCGCTGAGTTCCTGAGTGCAGCGACGCTGAGCCTGCTCCCTTTTCTACGTCCAAACTCAGAGGAACACAACTTCCTCCTCTTTATGTTTCTTGCGCATGCTTCCTCACCCTCTAAAACTGCCTTTCACCACGTGACTGCTTGCAAATAGCATAGTTTTCTCTTTACTCTTTTTCCACATTTTTCCTCCAGGCTGCTGCCAAAATTTACAGCTTGCCTGGCTGGGTTTGGTTTTGTGTTTTTGTTGTTGCTGTTGTTTTGTTTTGTTTTTTTCTCTTAAACTCTAGTAAAAGTGTCCTCAAGCTTTCTTCCAAGTATATTTTTAAAATTATTTTATTAAAGAAGACTAAACCCAAAAAGGAGGCCAATTTCCTGGGTAAAATATCACACCTAACTTAATGTAGCAGTCTTCACCCGGCCCCTATCTTTGGCTCTTATAGTGTATTTACCCTCCTTCCATGATGTCCCCTGAGCCTATATATGTGTATGTATACACATATACAGATATATTACATAATGAGAGAGAGAGAGAGTTAAGTATTTGTGGTTTCATGGGAGTTTTGAAAGAAAACATATCCTACACTGATCAAAGGTACTGCCTCATTTGTGTGTGTGTGTGAGAGAGAGAGAGAGAGAGAGAGAAATGTCCTATTTAGGGCTGATCATTCCACAATTAATTTTTTCTCTGTATGTTGATCAGTTATGAACCTTTGTATTAATCACTGTCCATTGCAAATAGAAGCCTCTCTAGTGAGGGTCGAGAGCTGTGTTAATCCAGAGGTATAATGAAGGTATTAGGGATGTTTGATGCTGTGCCCGTTAACAAAGTAACAGTGGTCAGTTTCCTCTAGGGCCTGTGAACTCCCCAACCACATTTTCTCGGTCTGGCTTATAGTACCAGACATAAGTTCCCTCCTGCGGAGCAGGCCTTGACTCCGATCATAGAGTGGTTGGCCACCCCATAATATCCATGCCGCTGTTGCACCGCTGTGCGTGTCTAAGTGTTACACTTCTAGAAGTACAAACCCCATATACAGATGTCTTTACAAAACTTCCATTTGCACTTCCTTTATAATAAATCCTTTATGCTTAAAAATCCTTCAGTATCATTATTGGCCACACAATCTTATTTAGTTGTATATGTTCATCATTTCTATTATTGAATTTGTATATTTGATTTTTTTTCACATTTCTGAGCTAGAACCTAAGTAAAAGGTTGTTAACATTAAGAGCCTAATTTTATTATAAAATTGTATTATAAAAGCAAATTTTATTATAAAAGTGACGTCTTAATTCCTGTTTACACTGTTTGTCAGAAAATTCATTTTTAATGTTTTCACTGGACAAAAAAAATATTAAGACAAGACATCTTGGGTTTTTTTTTTAAACAATATTATCTTTTGTACGCTCTATATTCTAATAGATTTTTTTTTGAGACAGGGTGTCTCTGTTTAACCCTGGCTGTCCTGGAACTCGTTGTAGACCAGGCTATCCTCAGGCTCAGAGATGCACTTGTCTCTCCCTCCTAAGTGCTGGGATTAAAGGTGTGTAACACCACTGCCTGGCCTAATAGATATTTTCTATGTAGAACACACACATTACCTGAAATAACCTTCTTTCATATAGTTAGTATTAAGTACACCAAGTGCTTTTTTCATACAGTACTAAGCAGAGTATCATATACATACATGTATATGTAATCTTTGGTTTTCACAGAGGGATTAATGTAGTAAATATGCACTATGGTATATATAATATGTATGTATAGATATAATTCTATAATTTTATACTATATACCTATGTAATATAATAATTAAACATGTATTTATAAATCATATACTATACATTTATACAGTTTATATATTATATATAATGTATATATTTGCTCTATATGTATGTAGTGTGTGTGTATGTTTGTGGGTGCACTAGGAAAACAAAAGGGAGTTAAGAATCATGGTTTTCCCTGTGTTGCATGCGTAGTTTCATGTGTAAATGTAAGTAATTCATGTTTGTAGTCACACTAGTCTATAAGCACCACGAACTGCGACCCCGTTTAAATTGTCATTGAGTAATTTTATGCACTGCGCTCTCCAGGACCGAGAACAGAGAGAGAGAGCAATCCGTGTCCTAGGGAGCTGACAGTAGAGCAGGGGAAGTCAGGACCCTGGGGTTGGGAAGGAGAGCAGGGCTTGCTCACGTGGTGGGCGCAGCTTGCTTGGGTGGTGGCTACCCTGGGATCATGCTGATGTTTGCTGTCAGACACCAGCTTCCGGATTCTGGGTTAGGTACCCTGGCAGCACCTTGGAGTTATGTCTGTAACGGCCTAAATTAAAATTCTTGGGTTTGTCACAGTTGTAGTTCATGGTACCCTAGTCCATCCAAATAAACATTTATCCCGTGCCTCTCCCTTAACCCCTGTCAGCATCTCTGATGTCAACTGTGTCTCATCCCTATCCCGTGCCCTCTGTCCCCCGTGCCCTTATCCACACGTTATTCTCCTCCCAGCGCCAGGTCTAGGATCAGCTCTCGTCTTCACCCACTGACCACAGTGTGGATAAAATAATGTGCCGACTGCATTACCCTAGTCCTTTTTCCTCCTGAGCTTGCTCTTTTTAGCTACAATAGCCTTCAGGTAACTTCTAGAATATTCTGATCTTAAAAAAAAAAGTGTGACTGTGTGTGTGTGTGTGTGTGTGTGTGTGTGTGTGTGTGAGAACATGCATGTTCACGTGTGTGGGGGCATGTGTGTGATCATATGTGCACTGTATGTGTACGCACGTGTTGATAATGAGTATATCTTCCCCGGTTTACTTACTGAGGCAGGATGGCTTGCTGGACCTGGAACTGGACAATTTGGTGAGTTAGTTTAGGCAGCTGTTTGCCCCGACTCTGTCACCAACCCCGAGGCTGGGCTGTGCGCAGTATGCGCAGACTCCTGCCCAGCAGGCTGTGCTGCGCCTCTGTTTGCTCGTCCAGCTGTTTAGCAGCTGTTTAGTGTCTTGAGTACACCCAGCAGAGAGGAGAATTCAGTCGACTGCAGCCGTCTCTGCTGAGACCTATTAATCATTCCACATGATTGGCGCCCCTTGTCCCGCCGCGCACATACTGTGCTTCTTTGTTTAGGGGCGGCTGCCGTGCCAACCTGTTAGTGCTCTACCTGGGATCTTGGCAGTCTTTTTTCTTTTTCAAATAACATTGGTAGGAGTTCAAAGGGAGTCACACATAAACCGTGATGCGACCTTCTGACCCAGCCTGAGAGCCTGGGAGGTGCGTGATGGTCACAGAGAAGGCTGGTGTTCTGAGCAAGGCCAATGAGGGCAGCGGAGAGCTTGAAATGGCAGCTCTCTGTCTCTCTCTCTCTCTCTCTGTCAGTCTCGAAGTGTAGATCAGGCTGGCTTTGAATTCAGAGAGATCTGCCTTCCTCTTCCTCACAAGTGCTGGGACTAAACCCTTTACTACCATGTTTCCTGGTCCTTGGCACTGTTTCTTGGGAAATTCTTAGGCTCTACCAGGCTCTGAGGGGTTCTTCTCTGGCTTCCCACGTGCTTCAGCACAGTGCTTCTCTGTCACTCGTGGGGACGTGGAGAATGTTACAGGCAAGACCGAGCCATGAGGTGAGCCTTTACCCTGGAGCCAGATGTGTACGTTCAGGGCTCTGCTACTCCAGAAGTTGAGTCATTCATTTTTCCTCTTGAGACGCGAGTTTACACATTGCTCTGTGAGTCCAGAATGCACCATTGGGAGAAATAAGATCAGTAGTACATAGCATCACGGTAACTGCTGACACACACACACACACACACACACGCTGAAGAACCGGCCCAGTGGTCAAAAGCACATACTGTTCTGTCAAAGGACCCAAGTTCAGTTCCCAGCTTCCGTGTCAGGCAGCTTACAACTGCCTGTTCCCAGTTGCAGACACCTCTGGCCTCCTTAGCTGCCTACACACATGTGCACATACCCACATAGGCAAACAAGCGAGCACAGTAGAAGAATGCCTGTGTAGACACTCATTCCTCCCATCAGGCAAAGCTGTCTCCCTTGGCGTGAGCGGTCCACCGTCTCTCCACAGCAGTGTCAGATGCACACACTATCCTGAGCGCCACTTCCCAGGCCGGCCTTTGTTTTGGTTTCCTTTGCCCCTCTGCTTTGGCAACTACTGATACTGCTTTAACGGCCATTCCTTGCATTATCAGAAGCATATTCTTCTCGAGTTCTTCTTGTCCGGTATCTGATCTCCCTTGGCATTAAGTTGCTGTGTGACCTTACGGGTCGCTGTGATGCAGTGCCTGGGAGTTTAAGGAAGGGCTGTCGTCGGTTCACAGGTTGAGGGTACAGTCCTCCAGGTGGGGAAGTCATGGAGGCGGGAGCTTCAGGCAGCCAGTTACAGTACACCATACAGTCAAGAAACAAAGAAATGAATGCCACCGCTCAGTCCCCCACCTGCCGTGGAATGGAGCCACCCAGCTTCCAGGTGGGGCTTTCCACCTCAGTGCGCCTCATTTGGAAAGTTCTTCACAGACAAGCTTACGAGTGTGTTTCTAGGGTGATTTGAAATCCCGTGAAGTTGACAGGATTGATTACCCATCACATGGGCTGAGGAGTTGGCTCATCAGTTAAAGAGCTTGTCACATAAACAAGAGGACAGGAGTTCAGACAGCTGAACCTGTGTGAAAGCTTAGTGGATGCCCAGGTCACCTTGACTTCAGCCTGGGAAGGCAGAGCTCCCCGTGTGAGCCGGCCGGCGAGGTCAGCCATATCAGCCAGTGCAGGGTTGGACTGGGAGACTCTGGAGAATGGAAGGAGTGATGGCGGAAGACTTCCACTATCAGCCTCGAACCCCACGTGCACATGGGCACACATGCCTTCACACTCAAATAACGGCACACACGTGCACACACCCCCAGACCACGTGCACATACAGGCAAAAGGAAGAGGAGATTGATCTTCAGTCTCTAAAGATCCTATGGGTGTTTTACCTCCCTTCCCATTCATTCCTCCTCCCTTCCCTTCCATTCCTCCTCCCTTCCCATCCA